TTTTGATTTCTGAGGCAGAAAATCAAAATAACTTGGCTAATTGTGGGAGTTTAACTCAAATGGCTGTAAAGGTGTTACATCACCTTTGCCTCAGCTTGCGGTGCGCCAGTGAGCTTATGGGGGCAAAGCAAGCTTTATCTAAAGAACAGAAAACCGGTAGGCAGAAAGCCAAGAGAGGAAACTGTGTTGATTTTTTTTTAAAAAAGGAATTCCATAGGTAAAACTTGTTTCCTCCCTAGGACAGTGAGAGATGAGAAAAAGGCTGAAGCCAGGAAACCTGTAATTGGAAGACCTGTTATTCTGAAGGTGTACAATAATAGCCATAATAGAAATACAAAGGCCTTCTTCCCCCTCGAATTTCACTGCCGGGTCCCCAACAAAGCAGAGCTATTCCTTCCTTCAGCAACAAAGAACTTCTGAAGTTGAAGAAGCATGGAGGCGCGTGTGCAGCCACGGCCTTCTCGGCGGCTCCGTCGAGGGGACCAGCCCGGGCGTAATGAAAGATAATTGGCCGAGCTGCGTGCCACCTGCAGGTTCCAAACGCGTCTAATTAAGTTGCTGTCTCTCTCTCTCTCTTTTTTCCGCTCATCCTAATGCACTGCCTTGCTGCGGGGAAACGGCCACGGAGGGTGGGCGTCTCCTGATCCCCCCCCCCCGAGGCGAGTGACGAGGCGCGCCAGTAATGATGTTGAACCGCAGCTCATAAATAGCCGAGGAAAAGCGGGCTTGATCTCCGCTGAGATCTCTTTGCCTGGCGCTACCCGTGGCGTCCATCCGCAGAGCTCATCTCTGGCCTGGCACCCGAGCCATGCAGTGACTGAGGAGATCCGGTAGAAAGATCGGCCGAAGGATCCCTTCCCCTTGGCCTCCCTTCTCCCAGCTGCGACGGGGCGAGTCCAGCAGGTTGCTTCAACAGGCAAGGGCACCCTTAGCTCGAGGGCAAGGTACTTTCCTTCAAGATCCCCATCTCGTCCACCCTCCCGTTTCTTTCCATCGTGTACTCCAACTTTAGGCTACGAGCACTCGCTAATTCTAAGATCAGGAGTTCCTTTAAAACACCCATAAAACCTCAGGATTCTGGTGGATTTCCACGAAGGGTCTTCGTCTGTCTCTGGAAAGGCAAGACCTTCTTGGGTCCCGGGTTGGGGGGCGCCAATCGGGAGCGGGCGGGAAGGAAATGATTTTGGTCTCTCTCTCTCTCTCTCTCTCTTTTAGATGCAGCGGCATCCCGGGCTCTTGTTCGTCGGCTTGATCTTTTGTGCTGCTCTCTCAGAGACGTTTGGGCTGGTTTTATCCGTAAGTAACTTAAGTAAGCGACTGTAGCTCTAGGCTGCTCGCGCATCTTTCAGCGGACTACAAGAGACTCATAACACGTGCTCCGACTCGACCTCCTGTTCGCTTTACAAACCCGGGACGTCATTGCAAGCACGAGTCGTGGCTTCTCTTAAAATTACGAACACGGGGATGGCTGTTTCTTAAATGTGTGTGCTAGTGTCAGGAGAAAAATCACTGACAAAGATTTGAAAGGTTTAACCGGGCAGGAACAAGCAATTTGTTAAAGAAGAGCAAAGGGACTGAAATGAAAAGAACACAGATCTTTTGGCAAAATTCAGGAGCAGACCTAAGATTAAATCCTTGCTACTGAGGTGCCTATGTAATACTTAACTCTATGCACTTTTTCTCAAGGAAAGTCATTAATTCCTTATAAAGTCTGTAGAGCTTACTTCTGAGTTCTTTGAAATCCTAAATAACTTTGAAACTAATTCTTATACACAGTTGGTTTACTCTTATAATGTACAGGTTGTTTTTAAAAGTATCCTGTGTAAATTCTGGTATATTATGACTTGTGATTAATTGCATTTTTTTTCAAATAAATAGATATTGTTTTAACAAAAATGACATCCATTTAAGTGGGTAATTTTATTTTCCCAGGATGGTATTTTTGTTTTAAACGAAATATTGGAACAATATATTGGAACAATATATTAATCATGAATTTTCCTTCTGTAAGGCTAAAGAGAAAAGGGGATGGACAATGAATAGTGCTGGCTATCTGCTTGGCCCACGTGAGTTAAAATATTTAATATACATTTAAAACAATGTGGAAGAATGTTAATTTCTACCGCTTTTTTGCATATGAATTGAAATGAGAACTATATCTTTTATATTAGTTTTCACTCCCTGCTCTTGATGGGAGAGAGTATGGAATTTTTCAGTTGCAGCTTTTCCTGGCTTGATTTAAACTATTTCCAACTGAGTACTTTGAAGGAACAAGTCCTCCATTACCTCACTTGAACTCTTAAGAGCAAACCAATTTGATCTGAGCTCCATTTTCACTTCCAGACCATGTCAATGCATTAATCTGATATACCGGTGTTCCCTGGATATGCTGATCAACTTTCTGATTCCATTCCATTTCATAAATAGAAAGAATATAGTTCTTGAAAATGTTTTTCGTTATTTTCAAGCTCCTTCTTTCGATTTGCCTTTTTTTCTGCAACTGTCTAGTAAGAGTCATATATTTTAGATTGGCTGCAAATATTTGAGACATTGGTAGGGCCGTTATACCCCAAGTAGCAGAATAAACAGTCAGGTAATACACAGGGCTGCATTACAGTTTTGAAGTAAAGCAATACATACTACTTGGTTGGACTGAGGAAAGGGGTTCAGTCAAATGATTTAAGTGACTATTATGGACTGGCAGAAGATATTTATGTGGCTTTGCTTTTGGTTATTGCTATGTATATGACAAATACTTTGTCAGCCATGACTGTGCCAATTAACATTTTGGTAGAACAGGAAGCAAAAATTATACACTTACGAAGTCTTTCTTATAGGTGTCAGCATCATATGCTTATCTATGTGTTCTTAAAAATCCAAATGACATTCTGTTATAGAAGTAAACAGCTATGTGCATAGATGAATGTTTATATCTCTGTTCCCATAAGCTTCGATCGTCAAAATTAATGGTAACCATTCAAAACCTTTGGAGGATACCATCTTGGGGCAGAGTTTAAACTTGCATTTTTTTGCAACTTTCTTTCAACATAATTAGGTCTACATGATTTTAAGAAAAATACAATAAAATTTTTATTTATTTATTTAGAAATTTTATATTGCTGCCTATTTGCGCAGTGCAACTCAAGGCGGCTTACACAAATATAAAAACAGCATATATAAAAAAATAAAACTAATAGAAGAAAATAATCAAATATTAAATTAATAAAATAATATAATAGTCCTCCACCCCAACCCCTGTGACAACACACCACACAAGCCATTTAATTTCCACCCCCTTCAGTTCAAACCATTTGATTGAAATTGAGAAAATTGTTTCAACTTGTCAGCCCTGTAAAAACATAGCCACAGAAAATGCTACATTTCCTCAAAAAAGATGGTGTGGAAATTCTCCCCAAAAGTTTACAGCAGTGTTGAAAAAAAGTGATTTTTCCGTTCAGTGGAGCAGCTGAGAGGGTGGCAGCTGCTGTTTGCTAGAAAAGCTCTAGAAAAGCTATGACGTTCTACATTAGCAGAAACTTGGATAAGATTTCCCTAACACACACACACACAAAATGTTTTGACAAAAATGGTACAATACATAGAGGTTACTTATCATCAATTCAGATTATGAAATCAGTTTATATAACATCAGCCTGTCTACTTTCCCTCCAGTTTTGTATGATCAGGTGGAAGGATTTATTTGTTTTCCCAATAAATTTCCCTAACTTCCCAATAATCAAAGATATATTTGCTTTAGAAAATTAATCTGATATGTATTGAAAAATAAAGGCAAGGGGAAAAATCCCTTTAGCTCAAGAACCTGCCATTTTAATAGATGCAAAAACAAAAGAAGCCCTGTTCTTGAGAGGCAATTCTGAGTGGGGGACAGAATAATTGAACAGGACATATTAACTATTTTGTTTTTATTATTTTTTAAAACAACCTCCGTTGTTCATGATACCAGTAAATAAAAACAATACATTTTTAAAACGATACTTATAGATTAGAGAAGTGGGCTGAACATTACAGTTTGAAATTAAATGGAGACAAATGTAAGGTTCTTCACTTAAGAAAAAATTAAAATTAAATCCAAGGCAAAGAATGACCAACAGACAGTATCACTTTACTTTGGTAACAATATGCATGAAAAGAAATCTTGTCACATAATTGATCACACTGAACATGAGTCAGCACTGTTCATTGTGGCTAAAAAGGCAAATGTGATTTTAGGTGACATCAACGAAAGTATAATCTCCAAATCACAGGAACTAATGATCCTTCATTAGTTACCTTCCCAGTATAACAAATGTGTCCTGAGAAGTGCAGGAAACAACAAGGAGGAGGATTGGAGATGGAAAATAAAGTTGTATGGAAAGAGATTGAGAAAATTGGGCGTGATTATCCTTGACAAGGAATAAGGGGTAATGGCAACATGATAACACAGCATTTTTAAAGTATCTGGCAGGACATCACATAACAAATTCATTTTTTCGTTATCATTTAAATGACAGGACACATAATAACTGTGAAAGGTTTCAGGAAAGCAGATTCTGGGTGAACCCTAGTTTAACCCAGGAGTTTGACAGTAGAATCACTTCTCTGGAAATTATGAATGTTTGTCATTGAATATGTTCAAGAAGAAGCTGGATGGCCTTCTATTGGAGGCTCTTTTAGTTAATTCCTACAGTAAGTAGGGTTTGGACTTGACAGTCCAATTAGCTCTTTTGAATTCTACGATTCTGTCCCAATATGTATCCCTTTCTAATCAGCAATTAGATCAATTGAAGCTCATTTTGGCTGTTGTATACAAATATATGTAATACAATAATGTACATATACAATAATGTATATGTATACATTAATTAAAAATATTTCAGTAGAGCAAACATGTTACAAATGTCCTTTGCTACTTGATGTGTACATTAGACACACTGAGTTTATTCAATATTTTGATTGCATTATTATGTTTGGACACTACTTTAAAACCATGTAATGGTATGTGGGTGCCAATTGCTTATGAAAAGAAAGGCAGGATTAATACATTCTCTAAGAGGACAGAACTGAAATATTTTTTCTTGGAACAATTTATTCTGTTTATGTTGGGTTCAAATGAATGGTGGCAAAATGGATGAAAAATGGCCAAACCTCCATGCCTTACAAAGGAAATCTACTTTTCAAGTTCAATTTTCTCTAAGGATAGGTAATAGCCATCATCTGTTTCAGGTCGTATTGAACAACTCCTCAAGGAAATGCCCAGTGCAAGGGGGAGAGAAGAGCCACCTGGGGAATGTAAGATGGCTTTTGGAGGTTATTTGTGTAAACTAACTGCAGTTTACTGTTAAAATAAATCTAATATGTTTCTTAAAATCAAAGGAAGCAATCACTGTGGAACATGTTGTCAAGTAAACAGATTGAACCTAAGGCAGCACAGTATGTGCACCCGAATATGTCCACCTTTTTCAACCAGAGCAAACAAATGGCTATAAAGTGGCTATTATACCAGATATGCTTTTCTTTAATTTAGTGGTAATGGCTTAATCCCATATTTGGCTGAATCAAAACATTTGCATTATGCCAGAGATGAGCAAGTTGTGACCTTGCAGATGCCATTGAACTTCCATTTTTAACTGCTCAAGCCAAAATGATGAAGAATGAGAAATGTTAGCAGTGCAGTCCAACAGCACCTGGAAGGCAACTCCTTGCTTGTTTTTTCATTATACCAACAGCTGCATGGTTATCCCCAAATTGTGACATTGTGTTGAATTTGCTGGTGTTGTATGCCAATGTTGCAATAGGTCAGATATTTTGCTTTACAGTTAGTGAAATGTTTTTCCCCCCACTCATTCAATGTGCATCATTCCATCAAAAATATATGTTAAATTTTTGTTCAGAATCTTTTTACCTAATGGGGAGATATCTCACAATACCCTGGTGAATGTTAGAGTAATAAAACCTGATCTCACCTCTTGTTTTATTTACAGATGCAATAGACAGAATTTTTAGTGTCAAGCATGGTTTAGCTGGTAAACGTGACATAAACCTTGATGAAAATGTAAAAGCAGGTAACTTTTCTTCTTCTATTACCTTTCTGCTATGTACTTGTCAAGCATATCTTAAAAGCTGCTCCCTATTTCTTCTTTCCTAAATCGTGATAAACAACTTTTCTGCTTGAGGAGCTGCCCTTTTATATGGGTGTTATTTTAATGAAACATGATGAAGTCTATTTAAGTGGATAATTTTATTTTCCCAAGGTGATATTTCTGTTTTGAAAGAAATATTGGGTAACATATACAAAATTAATCATGCATTTTCCTTAGGTTTAAGCTGAGCAGCTACCTTATTTTTCGGAGTATAAGACGCACCGGAGTATAAGACGTATCAATTTTTTTAAAAAAAGTAGGTAGGTAGTTAGAGGGATAGAAAGGGAGAGAGAGAAATACAGCAGGTAGGTAGGGAGAGAGAGAGGGTAGGTAGATATATATAGAGAGTTACAACCCCCGGTATGCCCAAATATGGGAGGAAGTTCCTACTTCCATTCTCTGTCCATCAGCTCGTCACAAGAGACCATCCAGACAGAAACCCAATATTTTTACTGTTGCCTTTTTGTTACATATGTGTTGTATTTGTGCCTTTATTTATTTATCAGCACAAATACAACATATATATATATCACTCTAACTAAAGAGCTTTCCGAAAGGGAGGAAAAAAGTTCTTGCATTCTGCAAACCTCCCCAAAACAGACAATTTTTCACGAAAACGGGCCCATTTTTTTTCCAAATAAAAGGCATGAATAGCTTGGTGGGGGCTTGGAGAGTGCTCCCGGGGGGGGGGGGGAGGAAGAGCAAAAAAACCAGCCCAGTTTTCAAAATACGGGCTGTTTTTTTGTCAACAAAATTGAATGCATAGCCTTATTGAGGTTGTCTATACCAGTGTTTCTCAACCATGTCAACTTTAAGATGTGTGAACTTCAACTCCCACATCTTAAAAGTTGCCAGGGTTGAGAAATCCTGGTCTATGCAATGCATTTTTCAGGCAACAAAAATCTGTATATACAACCAATAAAATATAGAAACATAAAATAAAAATAATTCCACCCACAGAACAATTTATATTTTTAAATATTATGTAGATAAAAGTGTTAAAGCTAACCAAAATGTTTCATTAATGATTATAAATTCCAGAGGACACTCCCCCAGTTTTTTTATAGTTCATCTACTTTCAATTCCAAGAAGAACCACTATGTTTGCTTCAAGATTAAAACATTGTTCATAGAGTTAACCCTTAACTACCACTTTTATCTAACCTTCTCACCTTCATTCTCTCTTGTAATCAGTAATTCTTGATTTTTTTTCCCCAGATACATCCACGAGACTGCTGACGTATAACAATATTATGCGTACAATAATTGAATTCTTGGCCTATCTACATCTTAAAGGTTAGTAGTTTCTCCCATAAAAAGTGAATAGTTATGCTACTACTAGGGACATATAAAATTGCATGTACAAATTTCTGTTGCTCCGAGCTCAGGTTATCTAGTCATGAAGAAAATAACAGCTTAATATCCATATACCAACTTCCTATTCCAGCTAATAGTCAGTACACTATTGTTTGAGAAGCCATTATAATGCTTCACTACTCAATAGGAAACCCAGTCCAGGATTATAAAGATCTACAAATGAAAATGAATGAAATTATTAGCTCTTAGCTAATGTTGTATAGGGTCACATTCATTCTCAAGAATGGACTTTCCAATTTAGAAAATCTAATCTGGTGGCCCCTGGAATTTGGATTGTCTTTGCTCAGTTTAGGTTGGTGCCCCAATCCAAATGCTAAGACCAAATGTTGGTCTTCCTTAGCTGGACAACAGCTAATCTTGAGCAAGATTAGCTGTTGTCTACAAAGCTCTCAATTGTTCAGAATTAGACATGGGTAAGATTAACAGGGATGTGGGATGAACGTTTTTGAATATGATTCTCTGGCCCCTGAATCTGATGCTCCCAAAAATGATGAGGTTGGCTTCCTCATTATTTCCTTTTAGCATCTAGCTAACTCTTTTTCTGAAATAATGGTCTCTCTTTTTAAATTTTGGTGTGCTGTTTTCCCTCTCCCTTATGCTCCATGTTTTGTTTTGTATTCTACTAGGTTTCAGATATGGCATGTAGGGCTTCTTTTGAGGGTCCAAATAGAAAGAATCAATCATCAAAGATCAATTGATAATTAAAATTTTCAGTATTAATATTGATAATTTACTAATAGCAATAAAGATTGATTATAAAAAGATGTTGGCAGTTCAGCTCTGACATTAGTAAGCATCTTTTCTGTTTTAATATGTTTTTGAGATATTTGGGTATAAAAATGAAGAGAGAAATGCAATATCAAATGGAGAGAAAAGTATATGGAATTACGGGTTTTCAATGATAAATGCTTCAGTGATAAATAACTTTCCAGGGGCATTATGTTGAAATGTTTTTTGGGGGGGTGGGGTGGGTGTTTATGAATCCCAAAGCTATTTTCATTTATTTAGGCCATGTAATCTTTTTTCCTACCTTTTTTCTAAGCTGGAAAATAACAGGAAGATGAAAGGCTAAGGCTGTAATTGCAAGTGTGATAAAAGCACTGTTATCAATGAAGCAATGATCACTGAGTCAAAGCCAGCCAATTTTGCACAAGGTATTTTCCAGTAGGGTGTCAAGGTTACTTTCGATGGATCAAAGGCTCTTTGCTGGCTTCAAGTGAATACTGGTGAAATTACAACTGAAGAAGTAAAGATGCAATATGTGCTTCCCTACTGCAGCAATCTATTTCTCAAGATCAAATTAATAGCATTAGGGATGTTTTAATTTTTCTGAGAACAAAACTCTGCAAAAGTCTTTCAACATTATTTTGTAAAAGTACAGCCACTGCTACTGAGTGCTCTTTCCCTTTCTTGTAATGCAGACATGTTTCTTACTTTGTCTTTTCTCGATGCAGAAGCCGGGGCTCTTGACAACATAGTTACAACAGTTTCTTCAGAAGAAAGAGATCAGTCCTGAAAGAGATTGCATTTATACTCTGAATTGATCTCATCTGAACCCTGAACAAAATAAGATGTTATTTATTGTTTACAATGACCTTACACTTTGGCTGATTGTCAAAGTGTTTTCTCCCCAGTGATGTTATAAGATTCGTCCTTAATAAAAACAATTGCTTTGGATAAATGACAATAAAAAAAATAGCAGCTACTTCTTGGGCTACTTTTCCTATAAATGGGGCTTCCATTCTTCTTTTAAATCAGAGGAAGTAAAGATGATAGGAGAAATTTAATTCTACTTTAAAGCAAAAAGGCACACAATAATAAACAATTTAATTTGGTCTTTGACTGTAAATTCAGTCAAATGAACAGATCTATTTCAAATAATAGAAATCATCTGTGGGTCTCTTTCCAAGAATTAATAGCAACTCAACTGAAACAATATCAAATTATAAAGTTGTCCTTCATAGCATAAGCTCTGTTAAATCTCTTCATATGCAATTTATATTGAGATGCGGTGCTGAATCCATCCATTAGCAAAGTGCATCCATTCTTTTTAAAAAAACAATGTACCACTGCAGTGGGAGAGATTGCTTGTTCTTTTACAGAGACCTCACAAAACAGCTATCAGAATGTTAAAGATGTATTGCATTATCCTCCATTATATGATGACTTGAATGATGAACTGGGGAGAGAATTGTAAAGTTATAGAACAAACAACAATGATCCAATTGATACACCATTTTCTTTGGAAAACAACCCATCAGGAGGGAAGAAGTGAAGAGCTGGTTTTGTACGTACAACTTTTGAAACGCAAAAACAGAAGTAGTAAAAAGGATGAAGTGCCTCCTTTATTTCTTGTATAATATTAAATATTTGACTCTTCAAAAGATAAAAAAGCCTCCCAAGCTGAAAAGGGCTACAGATAGTCCTCGAGATATGATAGGTCACTTAACAAAGTTCCAAGTTTCAATAGGCAGCCCAAAATTACAAATGACCCTGTTTCAAAACTATGACAGTTGCAATGCCTCTGCAGTCATTTGCTCTTATGCCCCCCGCCTCTCTCCCTCCATCCCACCTCACTGGGACCCACAATGCTTGGACTTCCTCCATATGTCCATCACCTATCACACCTTTTGAAGCTTTCCAGACCTCTTATTGGGGAATGAGGGCAGACCATGTGTCCCAGGGCTGTGCAAAGGCGACTCATATGTGACCACCATTTTCTCCCACCTGCTTGTGTGCTGAGACAAAATGGCAGCTGCCAGACAAACCGCTTCATTTTGCTGCCTTAACAGTGCACAGTGCTGCAGAAATGTGCAGAAGAATTTAGTTAATGAAATGCATTGGATTTCTGGATGCTCCTATAGACCCTTTAGCAAATAAGCATTTTCTTCTCATAACATTCCCAGAGGAATTAGGCTCATACAAATATGGAAATTGGAAGATTTAATTAATTTGTGTTTAAATGTTTGTTACAGCAGGATTGGGATATCTCACAACTCTGTCCTGTATTGAGATATGCAAATTAAAAAAGAAAAAGTTAATAAAGCTGAAAATGTGAAGGTGGTACTAAGATGCAGTTATAAATATTTTATTCATTTATTATATCTTACTTTTTGGTCATGGGCCTAGATGAACAGAATAAAAGATGGGTTTAACACTTCCATGAAACTCTCCACCAGCCAAACCCATTCACTATATACAACTTTAATGAACAAAGTGTCTAACAAGAGCCTCAGATGAATACTGGTGAAGTTACAACTGAAGAAGTAAAGATGGCAATTAGAAGACTTAAAAACAACAAGGCAGCTGGCTTAGATAAGATCCTAAAATATGGTGGCCAGGCTGTGGTGAAATAACTGACAACATTGTTTAATAAATGTTGGCAAAATAGTGTAGTTTCACAGGACTGGTGAAGGGTGGATATTATTAAAACCCCCTAGAAAAGTAACATTTCAGAATGCATCAACTGATGGGGCGTTACCCTCCTCTCAGTGCCTGGAGAGACCTTTTGTATAATTCTCCTTAAGAGATAGGTAGGCCTGGACTTTTGACTGTAATCAAGCCTGCCCATCATAGTCGTAAAGTGAGGCACTACATGACCAGACTCATTTTTATGATCTTTTATGTGGCAGTCATTAAGCAAACCCATTATTCACTATAGTCCATTTTTGCTGAAAACGGGAAGAAAATGCTAATTTTCAGCAAAAACATAGTTAATTGCAATTATATGACCACACGATGCTGCAAATGGCTGTAAAGGCAGGCTGGCTCCTAAGCACTCAAAATGCGGTCACATGAAGAGGGGCACGAGAGAGACTTCTTAAATTCAGAACTGGATTGTAAGTACTTTTGGGTGGTCTGTCATGATTTTGATCATAAGTGACAGATCATAAGTCAAGGACTACCCGCAGTGACGTGCAGTCAGGGGAGGCGGGGAGGCATGTCCTCACCACTGTCATCATGAAAAGAAAAAAAAATGTAAAAGGAAAAAGGCTGAGGTAGTTGCTGCCAGAGTAAGGTGACCAGACATCCCGATTACGGTGGGACAGTCACGATTTATAACAACTTGTCCCATGTCCCGGGGTGTTTTAAAAAAGTCCCGATTTTCTGGCTTCATGTTGAAAGCCCAGTGGATTTGCTTAAGAAATCCTAACCGGGGCAAGACAAAAGACACTCTGTCTAACTAACCTCTCTCTCTGTCTCAGTACTTTCATTGAAGATATAATTAAAACATTAAAGCAAGAAAACGNGGGATAATCAGCACCAGAGGCGTGGCTTAAAGTTTCAATTCAGCTCTGGGCAGTTTGGCTGTATTTAACCCTTGCTTGGACTCTCCTGAGCAGCGTCCTGGAAAACAGGCAGAGTCCTCAATGCCTATATATTACACATTAGTTAAGATATTCCAATAGGTAACATGAAATGCTTCCTTAAAGAAGGAAGTAGTACCACAGCATTTAACAAGATTATGGTCTTACCTCCTTCTCAAGAAATCTTCCTTAGATCGAACAATGTTGGGTAATTTTTTGCAATGTATTCATGTTAAGACATGATGCTTTCATTGTGAAAATTACCATATTGACAGCAATGAAAAAAAAACCAGCATGCAAATCACCACAGTTTCAAAGTAGATAACCAAGAGAATGGTTACACTTTGAGGCTAGGGAATTTTCCAGGAAATGCTGAGGACGGTGTAATCATCATGAGTCAACCCTGGATCCATGACAATGGGAAGTTTCCCAAAATCATGACTCACACAAAGTAGACAACTGTGATAGCTGGTGGTAAGGTAATCATTGGTTAGCCTTTCCTTAACCAATTCCAACAATCTATTGGAAAGGCTTATATACACAGAATAAGAAGTGCAAATTAGCATCCATCATGATTAGACCAAATGGATAAAATTGCAGTGTATCTTCTGGACATTAACGTTTTACATCTTAATTGTTTTAGAGTGCTCCTCTCAGTTTAGATCAGATTTGAAAAGCAAGCGGCAATGTGTTATTGGCCTGTAGATAAAATCCCACTGAAAAGAAATTGCACAAGACCACAGCTGTGTTGTTGTTAAACAATGCTCATACATTAGTATCAATTAGAATCAAATATTGTTTGGTAGTATCAGTATTTCTATAAAAAATACCACAATTGATTTGGCTCTTATTTTCGACTTCAAGCAATTGTTAACTATTTGGGAAAAATAATAGGACTCTATAAACTAAGAGCACAAAAAAGGTTTAGATGCATGTTGGAAATCAGAACAACATGAAGGATCCATGTACATACTTTATTACAGATGATTTTAAAGATCAATATTAAAGTGAAATTGGAACTTTTCTTTTTAGGATTAAAGGTTAATCAGTTATAAAAAGCCATGGACTATTATTTCAATATATGATTACTGTAGCAAGATTATTGAATGAACAGAAATGGAAAGATTTGACTCAACCCACTATGGAGAATGGTTGGTGTTCCTTTTGCAAACAACTCTATATTTATGATCATATATACTCTTTTATCAGTGCTGCAGAGGCACATTCCTAAACCAATAGAAGGCACCTTGATACTTTCATTATAGCAAGTGCAATGAATCTGTCATAAGTATTTTATCAAGCATTATGAAATTTCCCATTATTCACTGTATATTTAAGGTGACCAGACATCCCGATTTCAGCGGGACAGTCACGATTTATATCAATTTGTCCCGTGTCCCGGGGTGTTTTAAAAAAGTCCCGATTTT